TGTAGAAGCAGCTTATTTTGAAACTCGTAGTATCCAATTAAAGGAAATAACGGAAGAATCTATCGATGAACAAATGAAGAAATTTCGGGTAAAATATACAATTACCCTTAAAAAAAGTAACAGAAAAACTAAAATGGAAAAATACAACACAACCAATGTCTCCAAATATAAAACTGCAGGAAATCAAAAGCCCGATGTTTTATGGAGAAATGAAAGAATGGTCGTCATTCCGCGATCTTTTTAAAAATTTGGTGCATAATTCAAAGCACCTTGAAGATTGAAGACATCATTAGGCGGAGAAGCTGGTAGATTAATTCAACATCTACCAGTAACAGAAACAAACTATGAAGCCGCTAGGTATGTTCTCCAAGAAAGATATGAGAATAGAAGGCTACAATTTACGACAAAAGTAGACAGACTACTTGATCAACCGACAGCGTATGGAGAAAGTGCAACAAGCATGAAGCAACTGTTGGATACCATCAAAGAATGCATTTATGCTTTAAAATGATTAAATTTAGATTTAAACGATAAACAAGCCATCATAGCTCGAATAGTGGTTCGAAAACTGGACAAAGAGAGTCTGAGTTTATATGAGCAGAACGTGTAAAAAAGTAGGGAAATACAAACCCTAAATGATGTTTTCTGTTTTCTGGAGCAGCAATATCAAGCTCTAGAAGCACTACGAGACAGAAAAACAGTTAAATGGAACAATCAAAAACAGCCACAGCGAACACCTATATTTTATACAGTTGCACAAAAATATTGTGTATACTTCAAAGTTCCTGGGAATCAAATTTTTGAATGCAGAAAGTTCCAGGCATTGGCTACGATGAATCGTAGGAAATTCATTATAAGCAACAAGCTATGCTACAACTGCTTTGATCATGTATATGAAGGCAATTGTAATAATAAGAAAAGGTGCAATAAATGTGGAAGAAATCATCACAGTTTATTACATTACAATGAATTCCTAAAAGGAAAAGAAGGTAGTGAAGAAAATATCGCAAAAAAAAATATCGTCTACAATGATGACGAAACACTCAGAAACAGCGATACTTCTAGCAACAGCACAGATAAGAGTAAAGGGAGCAAATGGAGAGTACGTGACATTGCAAGCTCTAATCGATCAAGAATCTTAAAAGACTACTATTTACGAAGAAGCAGCTCAAGTACTTCATTTACCAAAAAGGAGAGAAGTAACTGAACTACAAGGTTGAGGAAATACCGCAGTGGGAGTGTCCAAATTTAAAATCAACATTGAAATCAAGCCGAGATTCCTAAGCAACGAAGCATACAATGTCGAAGCACTAATTTTGGCGAAATTAGCGAGTGCTCAACCAGACAAAACATTGTAGAACAATGAAAAAACTACACTTTAGCTGATCCCAATTTCAATAAATCAGATCGAATCGATGTCGTCATTGGAAGTGACATACATATATGCTGACATACTAGAAGAGGGCATATTTAAAAAGGATCGAATACTAGGACAAGCTACGAAATTGGGCTGGATACTGTCGGGAATTTTACAACAACCGAGCAAAAACAATACAATATTAGCAGCGGTTACGACAACATTGGAAAAGTTTTGGGAAATAGAAGACACCACAACTCCAGCAAATACAGCAAATGAAGACGACTGCCTAACAATTTTTGAAAAAACTACAAAAAGAGATGAAAATAATAATTTGTCGTCAATTTACCTTTTAAAAAAGAAAAAAAAAATTGAGGCCTAGAAAACAATATGTGCAATTTATGAGAGAATAGAAATGGGTCACATGGAAAAAGCAAGTGAAAATAAATGCGAAAAATACTACTTTCCACATCAAGCAGTGATTCGAGAAGACAGTTTAACAACTAAACTACGAGTAGTTTTCGATGCATCTGCAAAAACAGGATGCATCTACAAATGGAAGTAGGTTAAATGATATCCTCTTCATAGGACCGAGACTTCAAAAAGATATATTTGACATTATAATCAAATGGAGACTTTGGCAATATGTATTAACTAGTGATATTGAAAAGATGTTTCGACAAATTAAAGTAACAGATAGTGATCAAGATTATCAACGTATATTGTGGAGGGAAACAAAAGGAGAGCCGATAGAAGAATACAAACTACAAACAGTTACGTATGGGACAGCATTAGCTCCTTTCCTGGTAATGAGAGGTAGGTAGGTAGGTTGAGTGGCTGTCCAATGACGCACCTAGGCCTATAGGAGGCCCATTGTGATACCACCGGGACTAATGTTCCCTCACTCTATCGTCTCCTCTCTGAACCAACCTGTGCTCCTGATGAAGTTCATCAGTACAAATAATTTTATATTAGCAACTTCTGATACGTCGTCAAGGAATCCACGACCGATAGTTGCGATTCTTTTCCTATATAGAGCTTTACATTCGCATAGAAGATGCTTTACAGTCTCCTCTTCCTCTACTTCTTGACAGCTTCTACAATAGTCGTTGTATGGTACACCTAGCCTACTTGCATGTCTTCCAATTAGGCAGTGACCTGTTAGTACTCCTATCAGAGTTCTTATATCATTCCTTTTAAATTTTATTAGTCGGTTTGTGCGACTCACGCTCCATTCCTGCCACGTTAGTCTGCTGGTTGTGCAGGTTATTGATTGTCTCCACCGAGACTCAGCTATATTTATAGCATGTTCGCTGATTAAGTGTTTGCAAGTTGCCAGAGGCATAAAGATACCCTCTTTTTCAGGGGTTAGTTGCAAAGTGGTGCCTATTCTGGCTAGTTCATCTGCTTCGCAGTTACCAGGAATATCGCTATGTCCTGGAACCCATTGCAGGTTTATTGTGAAGTAGGATGTCAGATCCTCTAATAGATCAACAATCTTTCACTAGCTTGGATGAGCCCATTGGAGACTTGAGTGATTTCAAGGCCGCTTGGCTATCCGTGTATATATATATGCTCCTTGTTGTGAGCACACTTTTTGTCAATACCACTAGGCTTTCCTTAATTGCTGTGATCTCCGTCTGGAAGACACTGCAGTGATCTGGCAAACGGAAGGCGATATTGGTGTTTAATGTTGCGCAAAAGACACCACCTCCCACTCGATGATCCAATTTGGATCCATCCGTGTAGATGCTAATTCCTGTATTCCTGTCCCCCTCGCCCCTTTTCCACTCATCTCTTGTGGGGAAGGCAATATTGTGGACCGAATTTAGCATCCGTTCTATTGGATTGTGGAAATCCGTGGTTTTGGGTAGGAACGGGAATATACTGAGTATCCTTGAATGCCCCTTGTTGCATGCGACTAGTTGGGAGGATTCCCTCTGTCTAAGAGCTGACTTTGCCGCCACTTGTTTACAGAACAGGTCTGTTGGCAGTAAATGTAGAATGACGTTAAGAGCCTGGCTTGGCGTTGTCCTAAGAGCTCCACTAATGCATATACTGGCTGCTCTCTGTATGCTTTCCATACGCTTTACCGCGTATTTCTTTTCCATTATTGGCCACCATACCAATATACCGTATGTCATGATTGGTCTGACAACTGCTGCATAGAGCCAATAAGTTACCCGAGGTGTAAGTCCCCATTTGGGGCCCACCATCCTTTTACAGGTGTAGAGTGCTGTGGCTGCCTTCTTCATCCTAGCATCCAAGTTTTGTTTCCAAAAATTAGTCCCAGGTAGCTTGCCTTATCTCCAATTGTTAGTCTGCAACCATTTATTATTGGCGCCGTAACTTCTGGAGCATTATGTTTTCTGGTCAACAATACGAGCTCTGTCTTACCAGCATTTAAATTTAATCCGCACGATACTGCCCAGCGATTTATATCGTCCAATATCGTTTGCATAAGGTCTGCGAGAGTATTCGGAAATTTGCCTCTGACCGATACTGCCACATCGTCAGCGTAGGCCACAACATGTACCCCCTTCTTTTCTAGATCCATCAGCAACTTATTCATTGTCAGGACCCAGAGAAGTGGGGATAACACGCCTCCTTGAGGTGTACCTCTTTGGACAGATCTGCACATCGTTGACGCTCCTATCGTTGAAATTATTGACCTGCTCGTGAGCATCTGTTCAATTAATTTCCTGAGAGGTTCAGAGATGTCCAGATCCTTAAGCGCGCTCAGTATGGCCCTAGGCTGGATATTATTGAAGGCTCCTTCTATGTCTAAGAAGGCAAATAGAGTGTATTCTCTGACTTCCAGAGATTTTTCAATCTCCGCCACCACAGTTCTTAGTGCTGTTTCTGTGGATTTTCCTTTAGAATACGCATGCTGCGAACCAGCCAACTTTTCTGGTTTCAGTTTATTTCTTATATGTAATTCTATTAGTCTTTCCAGGATTTTTAAAAGGAAAGAGGAGAGGATAATTGGCCTGAAGTCCTTTGTCTATTTTCTGCAGTATGGCTTTCAGAGCTGCCTGGGAAGTAAGTATCCATTAGTAGCCCCAAGGACTCTTCACTGGATACCGTCCAACTTCGGTCTGGCTTCTGAAGATATCCGATACTATGCACCGATTGTGCCATTATTTTCCTAAGTCGAGACGCTTCCGCCGTGTTCTCGATGTCGTTGCAAAACGATTTCCATGAATTTCTTTTTGCTCTCCTAACTTCCTTTTTGAATGACCTAAGGAGGTTGTAATAATAATCCCAGTCTGACTCGCCTTGGGATTGCTTAGCTAAATTGAACTGCTTTCTGCATTCTTTTTGTAGCTTTTTAAGTTCTAGAGACCACCAGGGGGGCCTTATTCTACCCCTGCTTCGTGTTATTGGACAAGCCACTTCTAGTCCACAAATACGCCCTCCATTAGCCCATGGCTCCTGAATGAGGACAAATTCAGGCTGTTCCATTGCCACGCGGTTAATTAGGGCTGCTGAAGCTAGTTTGCTATGATGGAGATTAATTTGTAGAAGACGCATTAACTATTGTTATATCTGCGTCTTCCTGAGAGTCGCTTAAAAGCTCTTTCTCAGTATACAAGCTTGAGAGTCTGGCCGCAAGCTCAGACCCGGAAGAAGAACACTCACCTTGCTCCATACTTTCCGCGTCGCTCGAGGACTCCATCGGATCTTCCTCTACTTCGCATAACTCTTTCCCCGATGCCAGATGGTCTGCAGCATCGGCGTCCGACTTGTAAGGCGTTGTCCTTACTTTCGTGAACCCGTAATTTATCTCCCCGCCACTTTTCGCCAGCGGTTCGATGGATTCTTTCGTTAATAACAGCAGAATCTGCATCGTGGCCCTTTTGGTCTCCACGCCAGATTCTGCTACGCTGTCATCAAATGTCTTGACATACTTCCACCCTTCCGTGGGTAGGCTCGGGTTGCAGGCTCTTATGCATAATTTGGTCCGGCTGTGATGGTGTAGCTGGAACCCATACCCTTGCCCTTGGTCTGGATGGTGTGTCCTTCTTGTCCACTGCTACCAATTTTGCCCCGGGGTATACCTCTCCCACCTTGGCTATAGCAGCTTTGTATAGAGCGACCGATCTCTCGTCATCGCAAGCAATCATTTTCGGGATCTTCCTTATCCAGAACGCCAATGACAATTCGGTTCCGGGCCACTTCTGCAAATAATTTTGCGGGCGTTACACCCTTGGTCTTCGGTCTCTTTGCTGACGGCTTTGCCTCTTCAGCTGACCTCTGTCGCTTGGCTGCCTTTACCGGCGGCTCCAACTTGAAGTTGGGTATGACTGCTCTCGCGCAGTCAATTGATGCTTGGAGCTCCTTCGTTAGCTCCTCTTTCGTTGGCGGCTTTAGCTCTACCAACCTTAGTAAGTATGCGGCGCGTCGTCTCTCCGCATACTTTGCCTTTGTCGGGTCCTGCATGCTAAATGCAGGCCACTCCCTGGCAGATGCACTTCCAGCAACAGCCCCTTTGGCATCTCCTCCCTCCCCCTGCTTCTCAGCCGTGTTTTGGCCGCAGGGTTTGGGTCTGGCTGCCTCCGGCGCTACCACTTTCTGTGGGCCAGCTTTAGCTTCTGCCCCTTTACTAGTGCTTGCCTTGTCATCAGGACCAAGCTTCGCTCCTGTCCTCTTCGTGTTTGTTGAGCTCGCTCCAAATGCTGCTCTTTTATGGGAGCAACTCGCTCCCTCCGGCTTTTTTCCTGGAGATCCGGGCTCTCTCCGATTTTTTGGTTTCGTTATTTGTTGTTTTTGTTTATTTGCGTTTTGGTTCATTGTTGGTCCCACGAGTGTGGGGGAAAGTATGTCCACTTGCGCATAGCCCCCGTTGCGCAAGTAAGGCTATCTTATTTCGGAGGGCGCCAGGTATCCGTAAGCTCCGTTCGAGACTGGGCTATTTAAGGGCCCCCAGCCAGGTTGATCCTCGGCACGGGTCGCATGACACCTTGATCCAGCCCTTTACCCCCGACCATGGTAAGGCTCCTTATCTGTATGCTGTGCTATTGAGGAACATCGAACACACAGATAAGAAGTCTGACCTTAGCTAGATTCCTTACGTCTACGGCAAAGGCGGACTGTTGCCAGCTCGTCCCCGCTTGTGTCGTGAATCTGTGGTATCTATTACCAGTCGGCAGCCTCGGGGAGGGTTCAGTGGGGGATTTTTGCCGACCTCTGGCAATGAGAACTTTACGAGAAATTGCCAAATTCTGCGAGCCTCACAACTATTTACTTTCAAACATTACTGGCTAAATGACCACGCAATCCCCCCTCACCATAAGACACTGTCACACCACACCAATTCACATCAGCATCACCACACCTACTTACCATACATTCCACATCACTGCACCAACACGCACTCAAACACAACATCACCACGATCACACCTCCATGAAGACATCAATATATAAGGGACTAAAAGAAGGATCCCGCTAGCTTTGTAGCATTTCGATTCGGTTATGACCACATCTCTTTATTTCGAGCACCCGCCTCTTCACTTCGTTTTACTTGCACGAACGGTGAGAGAAATTAAAATTAATTTACTACTTAATTTAATTATGGTCCTTCTAGCCCTAGTGGACGGCACTATGGGTTATAAAACATTAAATAAAAAATATTAAAATAACGTGAAAAAAAGACAAAAAAACGGGTGAATATACGTATATACATATATACTTATATTTACACATATTTGTATATATATATATTATATTAACAAATTATTGATTGCTTAAACTTATGTGCTTACATTTGTATATATGTATATGTATAAAACAACCACAAAATAAAAAAAAAAAAAAAAAAAAATTTTAGTATTTATTTGCAAAGAATTTCCGGTAGTACCCCTTAGGCTTAATAAAGCAATAAGCAGAACTGCGTAACGATAAGTAGGCTAAAGGCACAATAACAATTACAGCTAGAATCTACAGCAAAAAGACAAAATACAAACATACATATACTTGTATATACATTCAATCGGGAAACAATATACAAATTGCATTTACCAATAAATCTTATAACTAAACATTCTTTTATATTTTTACATATATATTATATCAGAATATATTAACATATGCGCAGTCGGTAAAATACCTGCGTATTACAATTTTTATTTTTCTCCACACTCTTCCCTCACGCCGAAAAATATCACGCGTGCAGAGTCACACACATACACACTTGTACATACGGCATACGATCTGCCTATGCTCACATACCCCATATACAGTGGGTACAAATACATATTTTTATTTCATTTCATTATTTAAACATCGAGTATTTTAAAACTAATTAAACGGTGCGACTAAATCATAGCAACAAATAAATAAATAATTCCATAATACAAAAACAAATTTTTTTGCTAAAGGAAAGCTAAAAACAATAATATAAAAATTTCTCAAATAAAAATTTCTTCAAAGTTCATTTTAGCAAATATCCCGCAATACCCCTTGTTCTTTGGCAAACAAACACAAGCAGGATTGCGCACAAACATTTCAGAACAATAATTCGTGTATACCTAGGTACAAAGTGCATTGATCTTTTCAACGAGCTCTCAATTGCTCAAGTACATAAATACATATCTACAAGTTCACGCATTAGGGTGTACCTACATACCTATACATCAGGACATAAAAAACGATAAATGAATAGAAGTTCCAAATTTAAAAAATAAATACGACCAGTAATTATAAAAAACTAAATCCGCGTTTTTAAGAAACTTACTTCGAATTAAAAACTCTTATTAACTAAAAGAGTTTGCGGTTATACACATATACGGAAGTTAAAATTAATTTTGTCGAAAAAAAAACTCTATTTACTTAAAAGAGTTTCGTTATATACGAGCATATAGCTTGAACTCCATCGGTCGACACTGAGGAATTTTAAATTTACTTCACTATTTTCTAAATGAGCTCAGATTCAAAAGAATCCAAAACAACACAGTCTCTAAAAGTACCTAAAATGATTTCTGGAGAAAAGAGTCCATGTACACATGTAGAAGCTACACGCTCAAAGCAAGGTGCTACAAAACAAAAAGCAGATTCAAAAGAATCCAAAACAACACAGTCTCTAAAAGTACCTAAAATGATTTCTGGAGAAAAAAGTCCATGTACACATGTAGAAGCTACACGCTCAAAGCAAGGTGCTACAAAACAAAAACGGGTGAAAGATATTTCATACACCAAATTTATCTCTGAGAGTGACAGTCTAATACGATACTGCACTCGATTTTCATCTTCGCCGATTCAGGACAATTCTGAATCGGTATTAGAAATCAAAAAGGAAAATTTTGATAATTTCTGGACACGTCTCCAAGCTGCATATGACGCAATAGTAAAATCTGAAGACTCAGATCTACCGAAAAATTTTAAATCCTCGGCTTACGCCAAGTACGAAAACTGCTTAGACCAGTTTGAAGAAACAAAAGCAATGATTTCGGTTCAATTAAAATTAATTAAAGCAATCGCACCTACTCCACATCCGAGAGTAGAACTGCCACAAATTCAATGTCAAGAGTCAAAAGGTGCCCACATGTGATACAGAAATCTTTTATGGTGGTTATGAACAATGGCCGTCTTTCCGGGACATGTTTACAGCCGTTTACATAAACCACCCAAAATTAACAAATGCACAAAAATTGTATCACCTCCGATACAAAACAAAAGGTCAAACAGGCGTCATAGTCAAACAGTTCGCACTAAATGACGATAATTTCAATCTGGCTTGGGAAGCTCTAAAAGCAAGATACGAAAATGAAAGAATATTGATCGATAAGCAAGTAACGATACTAATTCAGAAAGATACAAGTGGTGAATTTATTAGACTACAATCCACTGTTTCTAATTGTTTGTCGGTTTTATCGACACAAAATATTCCCACAGACAGCTGGGACCTTATTCTGGTAAATATATGCACCGCGGCATTACCAGAAAATCGTTACTTTTGTGGGAGCAATCGCTCTCATCTCGGAAAAAAGGCCCAACGTGGCAGCAAATGAAAGAATTTCTAACTACCCAATGTGAAATAGCAGAAAGGGTAGACAAAAAACTAGTTAGAACTAAAAACGTTCACAACGACCATAGAAGCTTCAATAGACCCCAAACCAGTAGCAATAACAATTTAAATAGAAGTTTTTTTAAAAATCAATCGTTCACATCCGAACAGTATAAACAAACGTCATGCGAACTGTGTACAGGAGGGCATAAACTTAAATCTTGCGGTAAATTCAAAAAATTGAATATTGTCGATAGGAACAATTTTGTGAGAACAAAAAAACTTTGCACAAACTACTTGTCACGTTCGCATACTCTGAAAGAGTGTGAAAGCAAGTTCAATTGCGTTTATTGTCATAAACGACATCATTTTATTTCATATAAATAATTTTTCCAGTTCACCCCCAAACAGCGCAAATATGAAAAGAGCCACGGGTTTAGTTGCAACAGCAAATCCCGAAGTGCGAAATCCCGAAAATTGCCAAGAAGCACCATGCTGCTCAAAGGTATTAAAAACCCAAACGCTACATAGCGAAAATCAAAGTAGAAAGAACTGTTTGAACTTAGCGGCTTAATAGACCAAGGATTACAACGACCATTCATAGCGTCTAGGACTCAAAATAGGCTACAAAACTAGCCAATTTTAAAATCACGGGAATGGGCGGAAGAGTGGTCCAAAACTCAAATAAAATCTGCCCCATTACCCTAATTTCCCCCCAAGCGGATAAGCACATACAAGCAGAAGCTACAGTCTTACCGCAACTTACAAATATGCTTCCAAGCTATCACATAAATAGCAAGCATTGGCAAAAGGTTTCACACCTCAATACCACAGATAATACTTGAAGGTATTGAGAATATTTCAAATACACTATTGGCACAAAGTACTATTTTTGGTTGGATCCTAAGTGGACTAGTTTCAGAACCAGTTACAACCATGACCACTGAAGTTGAGGAAATCTCAAACGAATACCTCAATTCACAATTAAAGAAATTTTGGGAGTTAGAAGAGCTCCCCCCCATATCAATCACAACCCCTGAAGATCAGTATTGTGAAGATTTTTACAAAGCCACAACTACTAGATCAGCTAATGTCGTACGACTACCACTAAAACAACAATTTCCTAACACACTCTCCTTAGGTCACTCTCGCACCTCTGTAATACAGCAGTTTTTAAGTATGGAAAAAAACTTACTTAAAAAAGGTGAGCTTAAGCCAGAATACGATGGCGTGTTAGAAGAATACCTCCATTTAGACCACATGGAGGAAGTAAGCCCATGCGAAAAAATCATAAATGCCAAATATTACTCATTTTACTTGCCTCATCACGCAGTAGTAAAGCTAGACAAAAAAACAACTAAAGTAAGAGTTGTCTTTAATGCATCAAGATCCACTAGCTCGGGGAATTCCCTGAATGGTATTTAATTTACGGGACT